GCTCCCTCGCGCCATGGATGCGCGCGACAGGCGCCCTCTCCCCTCTGCGCGCGTCCACCCCCTGCATCGTCGTCGACGACGAGCATCACGATCGCGAGACCAGGGCCCCGCCCGCACGAGCCCCAGAAAGCGTGAAGCACCACACCACATCCACGAGAAGCTCGATGTATCCGCCCGGGCGCGTCCGCCACGCGGTCGGCGTCGAAGCAGCACAGGAACGGCTCGCGAGACGGACGGAGCAGACGGGGTCCCTCGGGGAGGGGCCCGGCCTCCGTCAGGAGGAAAAGAACCACACAGACACAATTAATCGTCGACTCCCAGGAAAATATGGGAACATATGGGAAGTGGGGGGGGAATACAAAAACCCAGAAAATATTGGAAAATATTGGGAATCTGTTTTTGGTGTGTGTATCTCGTTGTGTGTCCTGGGGCCCCTTCACTCTGGGGAGTCGCGCCGTGCCGCAGAGCACGCGGCGTCGGAGGCCTGGGCCGGGCGCGCTGCGGCTGCATGCGTGGGGTCGGTGCAGTGAGCGGGGTCGCAGGGTCGCGCTGCATCGTCGAGGCATCGGCGATGCGGCTCCGTGCGGGGCCGGTTTTGCTCAACGCCGACGGCCCCGATGCATGGCCGACGTCGCCAGTGCATCGCCGATGCACGATGCATCGGCGATGCGGCGATCCTCGGACCCCGTCTACTCGGACCCCACCTCGCGGGACTCCAACAGAGAGGCCCAGGGGCATCCAAGAACCCCCCGATGTCCCAAGGCCTCGAGCCTCGAGATTCGACCCCGGGGACCATAAGAGCGTCGAGATTCGAGCTTCGAGCCTCGAGATCCGACCCTTGAGGCCCCAGGAGCCTCGAGTTTCGATCCTCGGCCGCAGCGGCCTCTCGACCTTCCAGGGTCAATCGAAAGGGATCCGATCGACCTGATTCGATGTCGGCTTTGGCCCGCCCGACCCGATTCGATTCCGATATTCCGACGATCCGTCCGATGCGGCCCGATGCTTGCAGGGGGTTGTTGTGCATCATGGCGTAGCCGAAATTCGACTCCGTGTCGATGCAGTCCGGTTCCCCGCTTCGATGCCGACGGATGCTGCCCTCGAGGCACCAAACAGCCTCCAGGCTCGAGCCTCGGGCCTCGAGCTCGGCCCTCGAGCCCCCGGGGCCCCCGGGCCCGGCTCCCGAGCCCCGCAGCCCCAAGACAAAGCCTCGAGCATCGGCCTTCGGCCCCAAGAGGCCTCGAGGATCGAGAAGGGAGGAGGAGGAGGAGGAGGAGTTGGATGAGCAGGAGGAGGAGCTGGAGGAGGAGGAGGAGGAGAAGGAGGAGGGGCAGCAGGAGGACGAGGAGCTGGAGGAGGAGCAGGAGGAGGAGGAGGAGGAGGAGGAGGAGGAGGAGGAGGAGGAGGAGGGAGGCGGAGGAGGAGGAGGAGGGAGGAGGTGTGGATTTCACCCTGAGCCCCCCACCCTGAGAAACTGCTCAGGAAGTTGGTACGATGTTGCTGGACGCGTGCCCTCCCCGCGGGATGTGTTCCGGCTGCTATCGCGCGGTCGGCTCTGGTGCGGGCGGCGCTTCCTCGACGAAGAGCAGGAGGCAGCGGAGCGAACGGGGGCACCCCGAGGGCGCGACATCTCCTGAGAAGGCCTCACATCAAGTCGGGCCTGTCCCTCTACAGGAGGAGTATTCAAAAACAGTCGAACAATAGTTTGAGCTTTTTTAATACATGTGGTCTGACTGTGTTGGGGCATTCGTGTCGCGTCTTTTCGATTTCTCGCCCATCATCCGCCTGTAGGGGGACATGCCCGACCTGAGCCTAACAAAGCCAGGGCAGCCTCGAATTCAGTCCCCGTGGTGTGGCGGCCGGTCCGCCGCCTCGCCCCGTTGCCGTCTGCGCGTCCCCGCCGGTCGGCGCGTGGGGGTCCGCGAGGCGCAGGCAGCTCAGCGCGTCGGCTCGTGGAGGGCGGGGGCCTCGACTCGGACGCCGCTTTGGCGCCCGAGATCGGGGCGGAGCTCCCGGCGAAGCTCAGAGGAGGTAAAGGCTCCCATCATATCGCTACCCTTCCCTCGGTTTCCCCTCTTCGGGCCTCCCGGGAAGCCCTCGTCGCCACCGCTGGATGGGCCTTGAAGTCTTGGTCATGGCGCACCCAGGAGAGGTCCTGGGAGTAGCGTCCGTGGTGCTTCTTGGCCTCCCCAGAAGCCGTTCTGACTTCGATCCGTGACTCTCATCATGATGACACGCATCCTCGTTCATGGCATTTCTTGTGGCGCGTTTCTCGCGCGTTCCACGACAGACATCATCATCAGGATGTTCTTGCGACGATGCCTGATTCGATGCACATGGCGAGGGCTAGTGTCCCATGTGTACCCATCGCTCTGCCAAACCAGCGCGTCATGACACTCATCGTCCTGCTGATGCTCCTGCTCCGGCGACACACGCACAGCAAGCACACGCTCTCTCTGGGGTGCCTAGTCGCCAGCGTCCGTTGAAACCTTTTGCTTCGGGCGGAGGCCCAGCAGACCCCGTATGCGAGCGCCCAGAGCTGGCCTCCTCGTCTTCGTCCTTCTCCTCTTCCTCCTCCTCCTCCTCCTCCTCCTCCTCCTCCTCCTCCTCCTCTTATTCCTCCTCTCTTCATCGCCACCATAGTCATCGTCATGATCGTCATCATCAGCAGCATCACCATCATCACCATCATACTATTCATCATCAACGTCATCATCATCAGCATCATCAACATCATCATCAACATCATCAACAGCATCATCATCGTCATCAACATTCCATCATCATCATCACCATCATCATAATTATCATCATCATCTTCAACAGCAGCATCATCACAATCACCATCACCGTCACCATCACCATCACCATGACCATCATCGTCATCATCAGCAGCAGCATCGTCATCACCACCATATCATACATCAGACTCGTCATCATCATCAGCATCATCACCTTCATCCCATCATCCTGATTATCTGCATTACCACCAGCACCATCAGCGTCATCATCATCAGCATCATCACCAGCAGCATCGTCATCATCATCATCAGCATGATCATAATTGTCATAGTTGTCATAACCAGAGTCATTGGCATCATCGTCAGCCACAGCATCATCATCACCATCACCATCACCATCACCATCACCATCATCATCATCATCATCATCATCATCATCCTCATGATTATTACCATCAACCATATGTTTCATATTTAGTTTCATCGTCATAACTGCTTCTCGTCATCATTGCCATCGTCATCGTCATCATCATCATCATCATCATCATCATCAGCATCATCATCATCATCGTCGTCGTCATCATCATCAGCGGCAGCATCAGCAGCGGCATCATCTTCACCAGCATCCTTATCATTATCATGACAATGATTTGGACGCTTCGGGGCGTCCTTGGAAGTCCCTGCGGGTCCAGGAGGTTCAGTCCCCTCAAGGAGGTATCGAGCCATTTCCCCCGGTACCCCCCCCCATTCATCAGACGCCGCTTTGTTGTTCACGACGTGTCTTCCTGGAGGTCTGGACCACTTCCCCGGGACCAGTTTCCCATCCCGAGTCGTGTTTTGAGGGTCCCGGGGCCCGGCGAGGGTCCCCGGAGTGGTTCAAATGGGAATCGTGTTTTTGTCGTGATTAGCTTCAGGAGAGGAAAAAACACACAGACACAATGAATCGTCGATCCCCAAGAAATTACCGGAAAATATGGGAAGTGGGGGGGAAGACAAAAACCCAGAAAATATAGGAAAATATAGGGATGTTTTTTATTTGTGTGTATTTATTTGTGTGTCCCAGGGCCCCTTCATAGCTTCTTTGCGAGGTGGCCTGGGGAGGGGGCAGGTCACCTTCGTGGGGTGGCGAGCAGGCTGAGTCCTTGCTTGCCGCGCCTGCTGTGCGGCACCGAGCAGGCGCGGCAGCAGCCCCGCCGCGGGCGTTCCCAGAGGAGCGCGACCAGCGGCCCAGAAATCGGCCGGCACGGAGTGAAGTGGCGATCGGTGAGCCGCCGATCGTGCGAGGTCGAACGCCCCACGCGGTGTCAGAGATTATCCCAGTGCGACCCTACCTAGGAGTTGGAGCATCTAGGAAGGCAACATCTACATCTACACCGACGGCTACATTAACATCTTCACCTGCATCTACATCTACATCAACATCTGCATCTACATCTACATCAACAGCAACATCTACATCTACATCAACGCCCCGTCGCGATGTCGGAGACAGCCGTGGGGATCGTCACGACACGAGCCTGCCGTACCCCACCTACAGTCGGGGCCCTGAAGAAGGAAGCCTTTTCGTTGGGGAGGGGCTCCGCGTTCCTGAAGTGTTTCGCAGCTTGCCTCAGGTTTTCCTTATGTTTTCGATGGGACATCGAAGTCTAACCCATGGAAAAAAGAGGCCTCGTTCCTTATTTAGGGTTCCTTAGGTCAACGCCCCGACTGTATCCCTGACCATCCAGAGTGCTAAAATCAGCCCTCCAGACCTGGAGACCTATCGCGACTGCCTGAGACCTCAGCCTGGGACGTCGATGTCGAGGTCTTGGTGCTATTTTTCGGCCCTCCTGGAAGGTCAGGTATACGTTACCACGAGGTTCACCACCTCGTCTGGGAGATCGTTCATGGAGGATGAGTTCGGATCGTTTCTCCTCCTCCTCCTCATCACCATCAGCATCATCATCATCATCAGCATCATCATCATCATCATCTTCATCATCTTCATCTTCATCTTCATCTTCATCTTCATCTTCATCATCTTCATCTTCATCTTCATCTTCATCTTCATCGTCATCACCATTGTCATCGGCGTCATCAGCATCATCACAAGCACCACCAACACCACCATCATCGTCATCCTCACCATCATCAGCATCATCTTCACCACCATCAGCATCATCATTACCATCACGTTCACCACCACCATCACCATCACCATCACTCGCCTCACCTTTTGTCAGCCCCCCTGGAGGGTGAGGGATGCGCCCCCCCCCGACCCAGGATCACGACCTTGCCTCCGAGGAGAGCCCCTCCACCTCGGCCTCGCGGCGGAGCCCCTGCGGCGACGCCGGGAGCGCGGAGGCGCCGTCTCTCGGCGCAGCGCCGCCGCCGTCGCCGCCGCCGGTCGCAGCCGCCGTCCCCCGACAGCCTCTTCTTCGGCGAAGGCGAAGTCCATACGGAGTAGGTCCATACGGAGTGTCCGGTTTCCGTATGGTCTTCTTCCGTCTAGACGTAGCCTCTCCTGGTGAGAGGTTTAATCAGTCCATGCGGAGTGAGTCCATACGGCGTGCTCTGACCCCGTCTGGGCGTACTCCGTCTAGACTTGGCCTCTACTGATCTCTCGGCGGAGGGCGAGGGGGGGAAGTGAGGAAGAGCAGGCCTTCTCAGAAGGCGGCGGGGCTTCTCCGAAGCGCGCTGGCCTTATGTGAAGTGCTCCGTGTCTTCGGAGAAGGCCTACGAGCCTTTGCAGGAGACCCGGGGGACCTCCGAACCCTCCGAGCAGGCCCGCCCCTTTTTCCTCGTTCCCCCCCCCCCCGCCGGCTCGCCACTGTCTCTCCGCGGGTGAGATTTGTACGGAATCGTTTGGCTCATCTGGACGCCCGAAATGGGTACGGAAAAAATGGGTACAATGCCGAACAACAAGTGTCGTCCCAAACCAACAGCGGCCGCTGTTGGGCAGGCGGCCTTCTGCATCAAATGGGCACAGGCCGCGGCGGCGCGGACAGCGAGTCCTGTTCAGAATGAACAAGGACTCCTGCTGGACATAGTACCCATTCTTTCCGTACCCATTTCGTTCGTGCCGAGCCCATTCCGCTGGCCCATTTTGCGCCCTTTGGAGACCTTTTTGGGGCCTTTCTCGGGCGCAACAGCTTGGATTTTGTCGGTTCTTGGTCTCCCTCTCGGGTCCGTCTTGGCGCCGTTCTTTGGGGCTCTTTCGGGTGCCTCCTTGGCGCCTCTTGGGCCGCTTCGGGGCGGTCTTGGAGGCCCCTGGGGCCGTCTTGGAGTTTCGGACGCTCGAAAAGGCGACACGTAGCGTGAAAAACACTGAAGAACACAATCAACATCACCGAATGTTGTCTCTGTGGGCCCTCTTGGGGGACCTCTGGGAGCGCTCCTGGGGCTTCTGTGTAGCCTCTTGGGTTGTTTTGGAGGCATCTTCGGCCATCGTGGCGGCTTTGGTGGCCTCCCAGGTCCTTCTTGGAAGCCATCTTGGGCATCTGGGACGCATCTTGGGCGCATTGAAGAGCGCCTGGAACCCATCCCACCGTTGTGCGAGCGTTGTGGGTCAGCATCGTCAGGGAAGCTCGTGGCGAGCTAGAAGGAAGAGGAGGCCGAGGAGGAGGATGAGGAGGAGGAGAAGGAGGAGGAGGAGGAGGAAGAGGAGGAGGAGGAGGACGAGGAGGAGGAGGAGGACGAGTGGAGGAGGAGGATGAGGAGGAAGCCACTCGATCGCTTCTTGGGGCATTGTGGGGCCAAACTGGATCGTGGACAAGACGCCTGCTTGGGCGGCTGCTGGGGGTCTCTCGGGAGGTCTCAGGGGCCTCTTGGCGGTATGTTTGGGACCTCGTGGCTCTTGGGGGTTTCTTTGGGCCTCTTCCGCGCCTATTGGGGGCTTCTTGATGCCTGCTGGGCCTCTCGGCGAGGCCGAGAGCTGAAGTGTCCGCTCGGGTGCCTCGTCAGGACCCGCTCTTGGAGCTCTCCTTGGGGGTCTCTTGGGCCGTCTTGGAGGGCTCTTGCGCTGTCTTTAGGCCTCCAAGAGGGCCGCTGTGCGGCCCTCTCTTGGAGGCGTCTTGGGCCGTATTTGGGGCGATCTTGGGGGCCCTTCGGGCCGTCTTGGAGCGCGGGGGTAAGGCTCGGGGGTGGACAGAACCCCCCACCCTGACACGTCCCCAGCGTACACGTCCACGCTTTCAACGGCAACGTCAAGGATGGCTGGATGCCGTGGTGCGTCCCTTACACATCGCCAGTGTTCCAGCGTGATCAGTTTCGCGCAGTTCGGTGTGGTTACCCGCCAGAGTACCTCCGCTCGCTGGCCCAGGAGTTTCGAGAAAGGGCCTGGGATCGCACAGGGCAGGGACGCCGGCGTCGCATTGAACTCTATCGTCAAGATCGGCCCAGTGCGGAAGTCCACTGGCAGCAGCGCATCGTTGGAGAAGAGCATCGAGCCCGCAGGCGATGGAATCATGACATCGACCCCATCATCGACGATACCGAGGCCACCATGCCGCTCATCGCGAACGGCGGGAACGAAGAATTCTTCCCCATGTCTCCGATGTTGCAGCCACCTGGAACCCAACGCCTCCAATGGAAAGCGGCTTGCGTTGTGATTGCAATTGTGCCAACGTCGAGACTTTGGCCAATCATGAAGACCAACACAGAATCACATCAGTCAGAATCATCAAGCCACACAAAGTTCTCATGTCTGTCCAGCTCTCGAACGTGAGAGACCTGATGCCATGGCCCGCTGCATGCGGTGCCCGCCTCTCTGGCACCCCTTGGCCCCTCCACGTGGCCAGCTGGACGCCATCGCAATGGTGCGCGTGGGCGTGGTTGGCAACGCCGACGACGGCGGCAACAGCATCCTCGACTCCATCCTTCGGCTAGCCGTCGCTTATCACGTGTGCCACTCCATGAGCACTCCATGAGCAGCTCCGGCATGCCCGCCTGCGGCACCGACGGGGGTCAGAAATACGATGTCGTGGCCGTCCAGGCCGCTTGCACCGCGCTGCGGCTCGGCTCGGGTCTGAGCGGCGGCGGCGGGCCGTCTGGCGCCGCGCTGCCGTAAACCGACGATGCACCTCAGCTGCATCGCTCGCTCATCCTTCTCGTCATTCATCATCATCGTCATCATCATCATCATCATCATCATCATCATCATCATCATCATCATCATCATCATCATCATTCTCGTCATCATGTTCATCATCATCACCACCACCACCATCATCATCATCATCATCATCAGCATCAGCATCATCATCATCATTGTCATCCTAATCGTTTTTTTTTTTTTTCCATATTTTTGTCCTCGCTGTTCTCATCGATGTGACCATCAAGGTCATGCTCATCACCAGCAGCATCATCATCAACACCATCATCATCCTCATCTCCTCTGCCTCTTCCTCGTTGTCCCATTCCTCCTCCTTCTTCTCCGCCCTCATCCTTCCCCCCTCCTCCTTCTCATTTTGTCTCCTCCTGCCTTTTCCTCCTCCTCCTCCTTTCCCTCCTCCTCCTCTTCATGCTTCCTCCTGGGGCCCCTTCTGCCTCCCCCTGGGGCCTCCCTGTTCGTGGAACCCCATAGGGGCTTCCTGGTGCTTCCTGGGGCCTGCTGGGCCTTTGGGCATTTCCTGGGGCTCTCTGTGGCTACGCCTGAAAGATTTTGAGGGCTGGAGGGCTCTCTCGCTCGAGACTGCCACGCAACGCACCCAAAGACGAGGCCACCGCTCGAGACTTCCTCGCGTCTCATTCGCGGACGAGGCTCACGCACGAGATGTCGTCACCATCGAGTCGGGCGTGTCCCTCCACAGGAGGAGTATTCAAACATAGTTTAAAAAGTAGGCTGGGGACGATGTGTTGACTATTTTTGCTTACTTTGGAGGCAGCAGGAACCGAACGTCAGCATTCAGGCGCCAGGAACCCAAAACTGACGACAGTTAGAGGTTTTCCGGGTGGCGGCCTCGGATTACGAACAGGAAGTGCGGGCCTTTTTTCGGAAAGGGCTGCAGCTAGAGTTTTCCTCACGAGTCACTCACAGGCGAGGCTGCCACTCAGGTTTCCCCACGATTCATCCACAGACGAGGCTCCTGTTCAGGCCTCTTCAACATTCAAGCTTCAGGAGCCCAGAAGTGACGACATATACACGTTTTGCGATGGCCGCCTCGGATTACCGAAGATGCTCCCGCTCGAGACATCCTCGTGATTCATCCGCGGGATCTCAAACCTGACGAGACTTGGAGCTTTTCGGAAATCCGCTTCGAATCAGCCATCTAAGCACGGACCCCATAGGTGGGATTCCAGCTCGAGACTTCCTCGTGTCTCGCTCACGGACGAGGCTCCCGCGCGAGATGTCTTCAATATTCAGACATCCGGAATCCAACAGTGACGACAGTTAAAGTAAATGTTTTCCGATAGCCGCTTCGGGTTATTTGGAGGGGGCTCCCGCACGTGACCTCCTCGCGGTTCATTCACCGACGAGGCTCCCGCTCGAATTCTCGTCCAGATGAATGCGTGATTGTGTGAGATGGTAATGATGGTGAAGGTGGTCGATGATCATGGTGGAAGGTGAATGACCATGGTGACTGGTGATGTGATGAGATGATCGCGGCGATGATGGTCGCGATGGTGAAGGTGATGGTGATGTAGCTGGTGATGGATGTGAAAGGAGAAGAGGAGGAGAGGGGTTGGGAGGAGGACTGCGCGGGGTGCCCAGAGGAAACAAGAACCCCAGGCTGTGGGGAATCAGTCGAGTCCGATGTCCTCGCCCCGAAGCAGGCGGGTCCTGAAAGAAATGGGCCCCGACGTTTTCGAGGCGTTTTCGGGCCGGGGCCTCGCCTGGACTCCTCTTGACCATCAGAACACGGCTCAGGACGAAGAGCTGGTCTCCAGGATCCGTTTGCCTCGGGACCCGTATCGCCATTTTCGGTTGTTGCTAGAAGTGCCCCCGGGCCAAGGTGCCCCCAGGATGCTCGGGTGAGCCCAAACGGCCTCCAAGGTACCCCTCACGAGGCCCAGAGGGCCTCCGGGGCTCCAACATGGAGCGACGAGCTGGGGGCACCCACCCTGGGCCGGGGGCACTTCTGGCAAACGCCCGACCTCTGCCGGTGATCTACAGTCCGACGGCCCCCTGCGGCCCCCTCTGCTCGCAGCGGCGCGCCGCGTCCTGGGGCGGCCGGTGCGCTCCGAGGCCGGAGCGGTGCCAGAGCGTGGCCCGAGCGGGCGCGTGGGCGCCCAGTCGGTGCGAGCCCCCGGTGCGGTGTCGGCTGGTGCAGGCAGTGGCGAAGCGTGCTGGCCTGCCTCCAGGCTTCAGTCGGGCCTGTCCCCCATATACAGGGGGACTTCTCGGACGAGAACTAGAAGATGGTCAAGGAATGCCCAACACAAATTCAAAGATTGTTAAACATTACCCTAAACAAATTCAAAAAGGGTCCAACAAAAACCTCCCCAGAGTATATTTTTTGACTATGTTTGGATACTCCTCCTGTAGAGGGACAGGCCCGACTTGACTCCAGGCCCACCAAAGAATGTTCTGAGTACCTTTTGTGGTCTGCACGAAGTGTCCTCAGAGCATTCCTGGACGGTGCTGCCTCGTCTTGACGCATCGGGCTTCTGTTCTAAGAACACTGCTCTCGTCCTGAGAACATGTTTGGGTTCTTAGAACATGTCGTGGTAGGCCTCAAAAAATGGCGGGACGGTCGGTCCCTGCTGAATTGATCTTGCCGACGGCTCTTCGCTCCCTGGCCGTCGAGAAGCGGTGGCCCTCACGAGGACGAGCCCCCTCTCTCGAAGGACCACGCAGCAGTCAGTCGAGGCAGGTCCGAGTCGTGTCAACGCGGCGGTGACCCCGCCGCGGGCGTTCAAGGTTGAACGCCTCCAGCGGCCCAGAATCGGCCAGTATGGAAAGATTTGGCGATCGAAGAACTGCTGATCGAGCGCCAACCTGAGGAAGCAGCGTTGACCTCCGAGAGTTTCGGCGTATGCAGTTTGTTGTTCGATTACGCCTGGGTATGTCTGCGATTGCGGCTCACCTTACGAATGCAATTCCCCTGAACTCATGCGTACGGTGGCACCCGTGCGCAACAGTGCATCTGACGCAATGGAAAGGGATGGGGCGGGAGGGGTAGGATGCGGGGTGTTTTGCGAGGGCGCTTCATTTGGTTTCCTCCGTGTCCTCCTCCTCCTCCTCCTCCTCCTCCTCCTCCTCCTCCTCCTCCTCCTCCTCCCCCCCACTCCCCCTTGCCCACTCCACCCTGTCCTCCGTCCTGCGGCGGCGAGGACAGGGCCGACAGCTGCCCTCCCGGACAGAGCCCGTCCACCAGCCCAGCGATGGCGCGCGCCACCCCAGGAGGAGGAGGAGGAGGGGGAGGAGGAGGAGGAGGAGGAGGAGGAGGAGGAGGACGAGGAGGAGGAGGAGGAGGAGGCGGAGCCAGGGAGGAGGAGGAGGAGGAGGAGGAGGAGGAGGAGGAGGAGGAGAAAGAGGAGGAGGAGGAGGAGGAGGAGGAGGAGGAGGAGGAGGAGGGAGGAGGAGGAGGAGGGGGGGTAGGAGATGGAGGAGGAGGAGGAGGAGGAGGAGGAGGAGGAGGAGGAGGAGCCTGACTTCCTCGCGTCGTGCAACAGGGTACTTAGCGGCGGGGAGTCTCTTTCTGGAGGTGCTGGGAGGGGCTTGCTCGCCCCGGGGCGCCCTCCAGCAGCGGCGCCCCCCGTCAAGAGCGCTCCGCGGGAGCCAGAGCCGCCCCGGCGGGTCACCTGCATCCCCGGGCCATGGCCCGACAGCCTCACCTCGAGGGCGTTCGTAGTTCGGGGGCGGCCAAGAGGGGGGGTCCCCTCGAGAGGGTCAGCGCGCAACAGGCGCGCCTGCCTCCCCATGCAGAGGCGCCGGCCCTTCCCGGCGACTGCAGCTTCGTTCGTTCGTTCTGCTTTGGGGGCGGCAACGAGGGGGGGGATGACTGGGGCGGGGGACATGATGGCGTGGGCCATGATACTTCCCCAGGTTTCATGGCGCCCCCCCTTGGGCCGCGCACGTGCCGCCGGCCACGATTTGCACCCCCCTCTCTGGGACGCCCCCCTCTTGGCCGCCCCCGAATCAAGGGTGTTCGTAGCTCGGTCGGTTCGATTGCGTCGCAGTCGACTGTGCTCGGTCGGCTCACGTCGGTCCACGGTGCAGTTGTTTTAGTACTGTTTTGCCGATCGGCGCGGGCCTCCGGCCCCCTCCCCCTGCCCCCCCTCCTGTCGGGGGAGCGTAAGACCCGGGTTTGCCGGGACTCGGGTTCGCCATCGTTTTTTGACGACCGCGACTCGGATTTTGACGACTGCAGCGGGAGACCTCGTCAAAATGCAGGCTCGGCCTCGTCATTTTTTTGACGACCTCGTCGGATATTTCCGAGTCCCCCGTACCCGTGTCTTACGTCTCCCCGAACTTTGTCGGCTGCATCTGGCGACTGGTCAAGACCCTCCCCCCCGCAGTCTGCAGGCGCGCCCGGCACGAGCAGATCGGCCGAGCACCGGCCCCCAGACCCAGATGCCCCCCCACCGTGAGTCGAGCGCCGAGGCTTGCAACAAAAAGACGAGGAGGAGGAGGAGGAGGAGGAGGAGGAGGAGGAGGAGGAGGGGGAGGAGGGGGAGGAGGAGTCCGCCCGTGGCTTAAAGACAGACAGATTACGAGGCACCGCTGGTAGCGAGGCAGATTGCTTGAATTCCACCAGGTCGGATTGGCAGCAACCATGTGGATTGCACATCCTACGTGGATTTCGTATGTCAGCGTTTTTCCACACCGGAAGTAATGTGGGCGTCACCACGCGGTGGACGTCGGAATTCTTAGAATTTCGCGACAGGTGCGCGAAACGGCTACGGAATTCGAGCCGCATCTTGATGAACTGTGCACGTCGGATGTTGTGTTTGCTGGCGGTTGTCGGTCAGCTGGTTGCTGTGCTGCGGTGTTGCGAAAGGCGAGGCTTGCTTCAGTACTATTCTTGCTTCAGTCATCGGCGCTCTTTCAACTCGCCCACCAGAGCGACAGCCCCCCAGGGCCTCCGATTCTCGGGCCCGCCCCGCGGTGTTCTGTGGGCCAGGGAGGCGCTACCCTGGGTGCGAATCACCACGGGCAGGGCGCGAGTCTTGAAGCTGCGCGGCGTGGGCTCTCCCAGGCCAGGGATCCCCGGACTCGATCGCCCACCAACAACCTCGCTTGCCCTGGCCTCTTTCACCTGCTGGCCTGCCCCTGATCTGATGTACCCCTTGCACACACATAGCAGTTATTTGATCTTTATCCGTTTAGATCAGTGTAAGCACAGTTGTAGCTATGTGCATGCAGCTGAATACACACAGGTGCACCACAAACACATATGCATGTGGACATACATATTTACAACTACTTATACATCTGTATGCTCATCTACATATGCAAATACATGCACGCATAGGCATACGTATACATATACATCCACACATGCATTCACAGATGCACATACATATACACATAATTACGTATATCTATTCATACACATATACATATACAGACAGTCGTACCTACATACATGCCTGCATATATACACACGCATTTACATACACTCACACATCCATACACTCGCACACAGACATGTATACATACATACATACATACATACATACATACATACATACATACATACATCACGCATGTGTACGTGTGCACGTGCATACATGCATGCATACATACATGCATACACGCATGCATGCACATACACACATACACATACACGTTTACATACACGTTTACATTCACATGCACATACGCATACATACATACAACTACACATACATATACATATGCACACATGCATGCAGACATGCATACATACACGCATGCATGCATGCATGCATGCACACATACATACAGACATTCATCCATACATACACACATACATACACATACACACCTGGACAGATGTTTAGATATAATTGTAGCGTAAGCATAAACATACAAATATGGTCATGCATGTTTGTGTGCATGCTTGTATGTGTGCATGTCTGTATGTGTGTATGTATATGCATGTATAACCTCATGCGTATATGTGTATATATCGTATAAATTATCGGAGGTTGGGGGGTGAGTCCGACATGAAACGGAGACCCCCCCTACCGGGAAATCGATTTCGGTTTCGGGTTCGTGTCGTGCGTGCCGTGCGAGCGTGCGGGCGAGGCGAAGCTGCGTGGGCGGGTGAGAAGAAAGCCTCCTGTGGCTGGGCCGCGGCCGGACCAAATGATTCTCCCTCCGGCGACCGGTGGCCCGCGGTGTCCCGCGGGTGTCCCGCTGGTGTCCCGAAATTCTCCTGTGGTTGGGCCGCGGCCGGACCAAATGATTCTCCCTCCGGCGGCCGGTGGCCCGCGGTGTCCCGCTGGTGTCCCGCTGGTGTCCCGTTGTGTCTCGTGGAGTCCCGTGGTGCCCGCCGTTGCTAGGGCGAAGTCAAGACAGTGAGACCGATAGCGAGATCGACAGGTGTCCCGCGGTGTCCTATGGTGTCCCGTGGTGTCCCGTGGTGTCCCGTGGTGTCCCGTTGAGCGAGATCGATAGTGAGATCGACAAGTATCCCGTGGTGTCCCGTGGTGTCCCGTTGTGTGAGATCGATGGTGAGATTGATGTGGTGTCCCGTGTTGTCCTGTGGTGTCCCGTGGTGTCCCGTGGTGTCCCGTTGAGTGATATCGATCGTGAGATCGATTGAATCAGATGTTGGTTCCCCTCCCACGCCCTCCTTATCACCCGAAGGGTGGTCGTATAGGTATAGGTGTATATATATGTGTATATATACATAAATACACATAAACATATGTGTATGTGTGTATATATATATATAGCCGTAGCCTTGTTGGCTCAAGGCCAAGATGGTTTCCCAATCACTGCCTAAGCGGGGTAGGCTCCCATCCCACCAGAAGCCTCATCAGCGATCTTCAACTTTCATATCGAAGTCCTGGTCCTCCCCAGGCACTCAATATACAAGTCCTGGTCCGCCCCAGGCAAATCCATATACTAGTCCTAGCTCGCCCTGGGTTCCGTCTGACCCTCGTCGCAGACTATGTCCCAGGCAGCGCAGGCTGCTCCTGGAGGTGGCGCTGCTGGCGTTGCTTACGATGTTGCCTGTCCTGGGGGCACTGGGACCTCTGCTAGCGGGATCGGCGACTGTGCACCTTCCACCCCCCGTGCTGCTGCCGAAGACAAACTTCTTAGCCGAGACCCTTGGCGCGACTCTGCTGGAGGCAAACGACACCGGCGTGATGGCACCTCACCCGACAGGGGAAACGCTTCGCTCACCTCCGCCGAGTCCACTTCAGTCGATCCCATGGACGCCGTCAACGCCGCCATCAAAGCCTCACATGACTTCCAAACACAGCAGCTTGACCCGAAGTTCGCGACGGTCAAGGCAGAGGTCATCGCAGAGTCCGGCATGCAGCTCAAAGGACCCCTGGATGCAGTGGTTGGACAGCAGCAGCGGCAGAACGAACAGCCCACACGTCACATACAAGCCCTGCAGGCCAGCACCACCAAGCTCGAAACATATCAAACTGACGTCCGAGCCCAGGTTCAGGAGATGAGACAACGGCTACACATGCAGGAAGCCCAGATCCCCATCAAGGACTACGAGAATCTCATCGAATGGGACAGGCACGCGGACACAAGCATCATCGATGGCACAGCGGCAGAGAACTTTACCTCGGAACAGATCAAAACCAGGATCCAGCCCATCATTGGCAAGTGCGAGATCGACGATGGCGACTGGGAAGTCATTGGCAAGAGCCCCGCGCGGCGCTACCTCATCCAGTTCAGTGGCGACGCCAACGCCTCTGCTCGCAAAGAAAGATCTTCTACAGCACGCTCATGGGCCCTGACGGTGACTGGCTCAACGCCGAGGTCCTCGACGTTCACGGCAATCAGTTCAGGCTCGTCCTTGGGCTCCACCGCTCTGGCAAGACTGCGCGCCGAGAGTCCCAAACCAAGAAGCTCATGCAGTTCTGCGAGGCCCAGGATGACGCCCAGCGCTGGCGCGGCGATCGACAGCAAGGCATCGTGCACTGCAACAGCATGCCAGTGCTCTGCGTCGTGGTGGGCGCCACCAAGGACGAAGCCACGTGCCTCCCCTTCAACTGCGAGGGCTGCCCCGAGCATGGGCTCAGCCGCGAAGACGCGCGCCGCCTGTTCGAACAGTTCTTCCAGACCTCCCTCGACGCAGAGAACGCCCATTGGCGGATTTAGCAAGGCGCTGACCCCTTGGCGCGGGGCGTCGTCTACCAGTACCATCTCCTTCACTACGTGGAATGCCGGAGCTGTTCTCTGCTGGGGCCTGATCAAGCGCGAGAAA